TATGCCTTTAAACACGCAAGATGGTTTACCTGAGGTTTTACACATGCAGAAGGAAGAGCTGTCTTGTGGAAATGGAAGGATGGTATTTTAATGAGAAAGAAGAACTGAAAGATTTCCTTCAGCGCCTTATGATTATTAAAAGATTCAAATTTTAAAATAATGGAGGCTACAGAACTAAAACCAATGACAAAAGATAATTTTCATAATTGTCTGAAAAAAGTTGATGACTGACACCAAAAGCAGACAATTAGAAAAAAAAAACAAACCCCAGAACTGATGTCAGAATGTAGCATCACCTCTTCAAGGTCTTACTGTAATATTAATGGTAGGGATCGAACATGCCATGCTTTATAACTGCAATACTACTGGTTTTCACAAGACATAAAATATTTGGCTAAACACTAGTCAGCACAGAATACTGCATGAAAACAATGTGCTTCAGCAAATGTGCTTATTTTAGCCATTCATACACAAAACTATCTGAATCTGCCTCTTAAACCCATAATGTAATAGCTCAGATGCAGAGCTCTCATGGATTTTCTTGCTGTTTGAACTTCATCCCAAACAGAAGCACTAACTGGCTGACTGCTCTATATGTAACAACAGACAGACTGACATTTCTAAGCCCAACCAAAGCAACCCATTGCCCAGATCCTTGCTGACAAAAAGCAGTTCTGGACTGAGCTACAGTAGTAGGCTCTGGAAGGAGCCTTTGGTAGACTTGTGATGTAATATGATGCCCTAAAACATAAACTGAAAAAGGAAGAAATACTCTATTACAGTGAAGAGGTTTCTGAACCTGTAGAAGGGGTAAAGCCTTCATATATATGAAAATTGAAGTATGTCAGTTCTTGATCACATCAGGCTTGCTTACCAACAGAATGTCAGTGTCTCAGCATTGTGAATGCCAGAAATCAGAAATCTTAATCTTATACAGAAATCTTTATCTGTATCTAGTGCCCACTTGAAAGAAGCTGACTGCTGGAAGAATTTTTAGTCATTTGGAATATAGAAGAAAAGTAGAAGGTCAATCAACAGTACTAAATGCCATCAGTGAGTTTCTGAGCAACTACAGGGCTTGACAGAATAGAAATCCAACTGTTGATGCATTTAATTTTCATTATAAATCATTTAACTCATTTTATGTTTTGAAATATAGCCTCATTCTGAACTCAGCACATTTATTAAGTGTATTTCCGCTCATCATAGCTGTCTTACAGTTACTGCTGAGATGGGACTGATTTTACTAAGGTGCCTATGAAACGATTGGTTTTTGAAAAGATAAAAAGCTATTACTCAATTAGTTTTGTACAGTTGCCAGCATGAGTCTCTTATTAATTAATTGCTTGCCAATTACACTTTTTTCACTTTATTTCTTACATTTTCTTCAGAAAATGGTTTAATAAGAGGAAAATTAAAAGCAACTATTATCCTTTTTTTTTTTAAACACAGCTGAGACCCGGCTATCCAATTTTTTACCACTACATATAAAGCAATTGACAAGTAATGCAGAAGTAAGAAACATAACATTAGGAAAATCATATGTGCTTCACTTATGTAAGGATAAGTCTGTTTTGACCACTGAACTGCTTCCTTCCTTTGCTCTTGATGCTTGAGTAGTAGTGCATTTAGTTGAACAGACGCATAGTCAAAACTCCCTCTGTGCTGCCTAGATCTCTTGCTTTTTTCCTCCTCTTAAAAGTGCCTCAAAACTGAACCCTTGTCCTTTACCTGCTCAAACATAAAGGCAAATTCCACACTATCTTTTGGGACATTTTCTGTGTCCAGGAAGCAGTAGAGCTTGAAGTAGAACTTCCAGTGCATCTCCCCAGCTTCAGCAGTGGCAGCAAGCCTTCAGCATTGTGTAAAGAGAGAGAGAGAGAGAGAGAGAGATCAGACCTGTGAAACCAACCTCTTTTCTAAATTGACACCTCAGAAATATAAGCAAGGAATCAGCTGAATCTTGCTTTATGTGTGTCTGTGTGTTTAAAGCCTACAGCAAAATCAAACACTTACAAATGTTGACTCAGTTCTCATTCAATTCTCAGTCAACTATTTCTAACCCAAATTCTCTTAAGAAAATTTGATTTGTGGCTCAGTCAGGTGTTAATAAAAGCAACATCATTAAGTCCTGTTATAAAATGGAACCGCACAACACTTAAAACATTCCTTTCCCCCCCCCATTATTAAGTGGATAAAAGATGCTGATTGCCATGCATACAACACAGGGATGACAAAGAGGTATTTAGGCTTGTATTACATTTTTCTTACTACAGTGCTATGGGTGGTTGTAATTTTACTGGTAAGAAAAATGTAGTGGTGAGCTGTACTGTGGTGACTTCCACATGAAGTTAGGCAACAGACAGCTGGAAAGGCAATGATGGCCTGGAGTTCAGTTCTCCCAGACACAATGCTGGTAATGGCGGAAAAATTTGTAGTAATGGAAAAGAAAATGTGGAAATAGTAATGAGAAATAATACTTTACTAGTATCAGGACAGAGGAAGACCTACATAAGTGAATAGGTGGCTATTAATTCTTTTAAGAAAAAAGAAAAAAAGATGCTTTGTTCCAGAAATGGCTCTGTGTGTAATTCAGCTGCATCATCACAAAGAAGCAAAAGGAGAAAATTCAGCATTATTGACATTTGAAATTTATTTAATTGCTACTTATTAGAGTGGAGAGAGAGAAGGAGAGGCACACTCACTTTTCAAACTTTGCCAAGACATCAGCTACAATGGTTCTGCTTTCAATTGCTTTATCAGTAGTTCCGTTGTATTCAAACAAAGCAAACATATTTCTGCTATCCTCCATGGCCAAACCACGAATTAACTTTTCAACCACCTAAATGAAAAACAGCACATGAAAAAAACCATAGCATGGAAAAGCAGCACCACAGAGTAAGACACATAATTAGAAGAAAATTCAAAGCTAGATTTTATATTAGGCTAAAAACATTGCTAATTTGTTCTTATCGGCATTATTAATTGTTGTCAAATTCCACTTTAATTTTTATTCTTTCAGAATATGCATGTGCTGTGTCCTGGCCAACCCCTGTACTTCACTAACTCAGCAAGAGTCTTCCATTTTTAGGTAGCAACTCATACACACCAATATCTACTGAAGTTATTCCAGTAATGCCTCTGCTGAATTGCTTAGTTTTTCCTGCAATTCCTCCTATAAGAAGGAACTATAGTTGGGTGATCCTCTGCAGCATAAAGACAGTTTTTATAGCAGGGATTTCTTCAGAACACACTGGGGGACTGGAGGGACAGCTCTGTAAGCCTTCCCTTCCCTGAAAGGGAAAGCCAGCAGAGAAGGCTCCAGTGCTCCCAAATTTAATGCTACTGCTGCCTGAACTGGCACATAAATGGACACAGGGATTTTGTTCCAAAGACATTCTGTCACCACTTCTCACCTCTCCAGCTGTAGTGTGTGAGTTGATCGTAATCTTACAGGAGCCCCCACCATGGCAATAAACTGTGGATGTCATTTCCTGCCGGCCAATCAGTGCTTCTATTTCATCCCGTGATGGCACAAACTCTCTGCTTTTGGTTTTCTTCAGAGATTCATAAGTAAAAAGTGCATATTTCTCCATTTCAGTTCCTGGAAACTGGTCACGAACCCTGTGAGACAAAGCTTATGACTTCAAGCTGCCAGTCAGTGAAACAGGAAGTTTACTTATTTGAGATTTTTTTTTTTCCCCTGAAAGTACTTCTGTAGCCAGTACACTATTGAACTGACATGCTCCAAGGTTTATCTTCACTGTCAAGGAAAGTGTTCTAACTTGTGATTGATTTACTGTGGTAAATACAATGTACTTCCATCATTATGTTCTACAAACCTAATGGAAAGAAAAACCTGAATGCCCTTCATAGCATTAACTACAGGAATCTTATAACAACTCAGATTTGACAGCAAGATAACTGTGCAAACCTTCTTGTAATCAACTCCCCTTTATGTCAGTAACAGTTGTTGAATGAAGACTAAACTGCACTAAGGTACTACAGAAAAAAGCAATAGAACATGTTTGACTGCTCACTTTTGCTGTAGTGTCACTTGATTTTTATTCCTGATTTTCTAAAAGATTCTCTCTAGACCTTACTGTTCAGTGGTTAGTCCTATGAATATTCATTAGCTACTTTAATGAACTCAACTCTTAATTATTGAAAATTGTTGAATTTCGGTAGCTTTCAGTACAGAGTGTTTCTGTAATACTTCCAGTGATAAAATAACAGCTCCTTAGAGCTACTCAGGTTTAATTTCTGTGAAAAAGTACAGTGATTTGTGATCTGCAAGGCATAAAAATATTACTGCAGAATTACAGATAGGCTGTAAGATGATTATGCATCTATGGTATTGAAACCAACCTTTAAATGTATCAGCTGCATTTTCTTTTAATTAGGAGGTGAGTTAAACTGAGAAAGTGATTCAATGTTGAATTTTTTCATTTTAACAGTTATATAAACACCATTTTTTACTTACCTCAACTTGGTTCAAAGATGTATTTTCATTACAAGTATTTTACAAATATTATAAAACAATTAGATTTAGCAAAGTGATTGACAAAGTTGATGCTCTAGCACAAATACAGACAAGACTTTTAAATTACTGAGAACAGTTTCCTGGTGGACTAACTTTCCTAATTACATACTCTGCATTCTTCTGTTGCATCACAGCAAGAAGAACTCCATATTCTGGTTAATGCTGAACTATTGAGAATGATTTATTATCTTTTTAATGGTCACTAATATTTTAAAATTAGATTTGCAATCCTATGCTTTTACCTCAAATAAATCTTTAAATATGATAATGTTCTTTTATGTGCATGACATGTACCTTATAAAATTAAGGTAAAGCAGGATGAAGAATTTTTAACAGGTTGATTTGAACAGTTGATAATAAGACCTAGCAGTATGGGCTGCAAATCATTTAAACAAGTTTATACAGTTACAGAAAGCCCTCCTTTTATCAACATTAACAAATTGTGCATTCAATTTTGTGGGTTTTTTTGATTCTTCAAATGAGTGTAATTCCATCTAGATAACTCAGAGACACTTTTCCTACAACATTTTCTTTTGGCATAACCAATACACTAAGTAAATGCATCTTCAAGTCTCACTTCAAGATATCTAAACACTGATACAAGTCATGGTGAAGAAAACAATGAGTGAAGAAACTTCATTTCTTGCTTTAGTACTTCAAAGCTTCTCACCTTTTGAGATGAAACTTGAGATATTTGAGGATGCTGCGACTCGGCAGAAATGTGCAACTCATGCAGGTGAGTATTTGCCAACTGTAGAGGTTCCCCACACTTCCAGGGTTAGGCACTTTATTGGTTTGTTTGATGAGCTGACAGTAGAGCTCATCTCGGAGGGGTCGTAAATCATGTCCTGTTTGGAGGATACCTTGGATTATAGGGATGGGATCAGACATAGATTCCAGCTGCTGTAAAGAATTAAATATCTTGATGGCTTCATCCTGCAGAGTTGTGTAGCCTTTGTCTTTCAGCACTACAAAAGAACAATAAGGAGAAAGATTCTTAGACCGAGACATAAAAGAAAAAGCACACAGGCTTTATTTGGGAATTGCTTAATGATACTCCGTGACCCTTATTATGCAGGATATTAGAACAGGTATTTTTCATTTCAGATGTATGATGCAAACTCATTTTATGAGTTATTTTGCTATTGAGATTTGTTCTGAATTTAATGAAATCCCACTTTGCCATTTTCTGACAACATAATGGAAAAAGTGTATCTTGATTGATCAGTTTTTTGTGATGGAGAGTCTTCCTTCCAGAGCAACACACACTGATGAAGTGTTGTATCACTTGTTTTGCAGTCACAAGACACTGAAAACATGATCAGATCATAAATAAGGTAAAGCATAACTGTGTTATGGAAAGTAACAAAGATACATGGCATCATTTTTGTCTACAGTAGTAGCATTTTAATTAAACCCAAACAATGCTACTAAACAAAGACATTGCTATGACATGGCAATTTGCTTTTTGAATGCTGAAAAAGGTGGTGATTGTTTTTGTGCTACCGGTTATTCAACGTGGGCTAACAACTATTACAATCTCCTTAAAAGAACCATGGAGTTCTTGGGTTTGGTAGACGGAAGAAATTGCTCTGATACAGTACAGATGTATGTTATGAAAATGAAGTTTCTAACCTGACATTATACTATTACAGAAAATACCTAGAACTGAACTGCAAGTCAAGGCAATAGCTAAGTGTCAGTCCATTTTTGGAGCTACATTTAGTAAGGGAAGACTTTGGCAAGACTTCTGCCTCAGAGGTGGCTAGATGTTCCTATCCATGGGGAATAGAGACCAACCATGTTTCACTCCCATACGGGACAATCTGCTCAAGTGCCAAGAACAGAACTGTGCCTTGCCACTGAACAGTAGGAGGGGCAAGAGAAAAGAAAGGTTTGTCCTAGGATTTTCCTCGTCATTTGAGTAGAAGGGTATCACTTGAGTTACCAGAAAGTCTTACTTGAAATACCTTCACTTTTAGTCGTGTGACCTCCCATCCTTCCCCCAAGGATGAAACTTGTGGCCTGAGTCATATCTTGTTTAATACGCAAACTAAGATAACCAAATCCATTTAAGGACACCAAGTTCACAACCATCAATAGATCTGAACCACTCATTCCAAAAAGACTTCTAAGTTAGTGGTTGAATCAAGGATATTAAAAGACATGATTACACTAATTTTGCAAGTAAATAAAGCATTTCTTCTTTCATGTACACTTAGATGTTGATTCCCATAAATAGGGCTTTCCATCACATCTGACGAAACTTACACTTGTTAATTGGAAGTTGTGGCTGCTGCAGCTCCCCACATGGGATAGGAAGTAACAATGACTTGAGAAAGAGAATATGATTCAAGGAGACTGAATGAATAGGGTTTAGTTGCTTATTTCAGGGCAAGGCTTTTCAAACTCAGTCTTAGCTGTGTTGCTGAAGGCAGTAGCAACCTTCCCTTCTGTAATATAACCCCAAGGCTCTATGCTAGGCAAACTGCTATTCTCAGAACAGGGAAACTTGTCTATTTGTATTATAAACATATATTTTGCCTACCTTTACTTCACTGTAGCTCGCTGACTTAAAAATCCCATCCTCTAGTTTAGTCTTTCATAAGGAAAAGTGTTTCTGTTATTGAAAAACTTACAGTTTAGATTGATGTCCCCATATGGCAGTGGCAGTAATGGCGAGTGCAGCGGATGATGAGTGTAACGGAGAATAGGATTCCTCTTATAAATCTGTTCAACCACATCAGCATTCAGGCAGTTTTCCTGTTGGGGTATGAAAAAAGCAGGATTTGGGGTCCAGCATTAGGAATAATGCAATGCTTTGTGCCCTTAGGTTGGTTGTGAAAAAAATGAGTCATTAGTGTTACCAGCACTATTTGGTGCTAAATCTGGTTGTGGGTACTGTGGGTGCCGTGGCATGTTGTGGGCTATGAATGCTCAGTACCTGCTAACCTCAGGCCTTGGATAAACTTCCTTTATCTGTGCAGTAAAAAACAAACTACAGCAGAGCTGCAGGACGCATAACAGTTTTTAAAGTATGTTTTCATTTCATAATTCATTTTTACTCCAGTATTTCATAACGGGAATTAAGACATTCAAGTTTTATTTAAAAGTATTTCTCCAGCAAAACTAATGGGCCTTTTTGAAACTAATTGGCCTTTAGAAACTGCAGGAGCTACCATAACAAAATAGCCCTGGCACGGTGTTGCTGTAAACTTGATGCACCCACTCTGACATCTAAATAATGCTCTTACTGTTCTCCTTAGGCCAAGTTTGACAGATGTGACCACTGTCTCCTACCAGTCCTGAACTTTCTCCTGCTCTGAAGAACAGCATTCATAGTCTTTGAATTGAGGACTTAATACTTCTTTTCCATGAGAGAAGAAATGGTACTCTCTAAGGGAAAAAGGTCAGTAGCAGTTCTCCCCCCTTGCCTATTCCTTTGCTCTCTTCTGAGAATCATCATCCTCTCTCATAAAAGCAGATTAGCAAAAAGCTCCAGAAGGACATTCTCTGGCTACGCATGCACTGTCCCCAATGGGACCATAAACCAGTAAGCATTAATTGAATATATTTCTCATCACACAGATACATGAGATGCTTAGCCCATGTTATAGAACAAGAAAAGAAGCATAATGACAAAAAAAATCAAAGAGCTGTCTAGTCCACATCCTGGTGTGCTGCTCATTGTGGACACAGCCAAACATGTCTGCCATGAACCTGTCTGCTATGAACCTGTACACTGTGCTCTACTGCCAGATGCAGTCGTGCCTGTCAAGTTACACAAACCAGTAAAAGTTGTTAATGTTTTCATGGAAAAAGGTTATCCCTTTTGCCCTCCAAGTTTCACTTCATACTTTGCTCTTCTACTGCTCAGATAGAAATTCCTTTATCAGGTCAGTGAATACATTCAGGTTTCACAAAGTCAGTCTGTGGCACTGTGTGATTAAAACTTAATTTTCTGCTTTATTTTGGCTAAGCCAAAATAAAAAAGATTTAAGCAACCATTCTTTCTCACCCCTCCCCATCCTGCTTGTGCCTACCTTAATATCCTGAATAAGTTGCTGCGTTGGAGTATCAATTGGTGCTTTTGTGTCAATCACGTTCTGGATGGCACTTGACCAGCGGGTCGCCTCATTAAGCAATTTTGTATAGAGACGGTAACAGTGTTTGCGTCCATACACAGTTACATTCCAGTAACCTAGCACAACAGTGAAATTATTAGCCATAAAAGCTGCATCCCATCAGACACTGAGTGCTGCATCCTGGACCATGCTGGCAGTTTTCCAGGAGCTAATAAGTTGTATGAGTCATTAAGTATCATAATACAGATACTATGATATTAAAGGAGATTCTCTCCTTTAAGAGATCCTAGGAGTAACCTTGGAGTACAACTATGCATCATGCAGCCTCCCATCTTATCCAGTAATCTTAGCAGAAGTGACTGTAAGCACCACAGAAGTGACTATGGAATAGTTAGCTCCTTGTGGCTTGTGGCCCTACTTCTCCAGTCCTGTCTGTAATAGGAAAACCTGAGACAGTCTTGCTTTGTACATGAGAGTCTTTAATTATCTGTGGCACACATACAAACAGGTATAAAGCACAAACTATCTCTTCTGTAAAGAAGTTATTAATTTTACACGAATGAAGTGGCAAGTATGATAGGAAGAGCATTTCAGTTCAAATTCTCTCTCTGCATCATTGTATAGGCTTTTTATGAAGCAGGTTAAATTAAAGGAAATGTGTTTCATCTTTCACTAGTGAAAGCCTCTTTGAAGTGTCAGTGACCCCAATGAGCTTATACAGGACTGTCAACAGTCGCTTCTCATTTGCAAACAGACACTTCTGAGTTGAAAACCAGTTTTGAAAACACACAGAGGAGCTGACTCAAGTGCAGTATGTAGGTTACCACAAACTGGACTCTTATTCTGGATCTCCCTATACCTGCTCTACCAATGTTAGCCCTCATAGTTCCTGAGCATATAAAATAATGTATGAGGAGAGTGCTACCCATATGTCTTTCCTCAAGTCCTTGATGTGTAAGCGTAAGTGTGAATACTAACTTAGCAACAGTATTAGTCTATGATAATTTGAATACAGGTGAGAACAAATTTTATTCCTGCATACACTACCTCAGTTTTTCACCCAATAAGTCCCTGTAAAACACCTCAGTGAGTTAGGAACCTGATTTGTTCATTGAACTGCACCCTTAATAATCCATTTAAAGTATTCTTATGCATTGTTTGTTGCATTACTAGCTAGAAGGACAGCAGGCAACTGAAGGCATATTTGAACAAGAGCAAACAATTACCTGTCTCTTTGAAGATCTTTTCATCAGGTGGGACCACTGAGCAGAGGCTGTTCAGGACCAATGTACCCAATTTCAATGCATTTTTCTCCGAACTCTTGTAGTAGTCCAAAGAATTGTGCGTCAAAACAAACCAACGCTTCTTCAGTTTTAAGGAAGACATCTTTGGGTTGTTTTTTACTTCCTTGTGTAGCCATCCTACTCAAGATACAATTTGAATCTTTTTTTTTTCTTGAACAGAGTGAGTTGGACAAAACTAGGTTGTATACAGAAGTTAGTTTTATATTTCGAACAACAAAAACATATGTAAAATTGATAAGCTCACATATTAAACAACTTTGAGTACAATTCTCAAACAATTAAATAATAAAGACAATAAAATTAATACAAAAACATTTTCAATTTTGATATTTCACAAAAAAAATTCTTCTGTCAACTTACAAAAACATTTTTGTCATCATTACAGTGTTTTCTTACATGGCACAGCAGGAATATAATTTCAGCTGTATTAATTTGTGAGTAAACTCCACCATACAAAGATGCGGCTCCAACTCTACCATCCTGGCATATTACCAGATTGTATTGTGGGGACAATCTCTTCAACACGTAATGGATGTTATTTACTTTACTGCCCCCCTCAGTTCTTACCCCTCACAATGAATTCTTGTCCCTCCACTCTAGTGTCCCCCTTTGACCTCTGGAGCAGGGTTATCCAGTGATGCATCTCTTCAGGAGTGTCAGCATTACAGTGAAGAACACGATTAGCAGTGATGATCACAAATGAGTTGGGTCTATGAAAATAAATGACAATTGAAAAAGCCTTTATAATCAACATATGTACTGTTTATCTCACTCTCCATAATCATAAAGACTGTCCATTGTTTCCATTTTCTATTCAGACAAATACTGTCCACCTCTAAAGCATTATTTATTTATCACCTAAAAAGAAATATTAAGCATTTTAAAAGACTCGGTTATGTTAGATTCACACCAAAATGCTAGGTTTCTGAATGGTGGGAAAGTTTACATTAAATTGCAACTTGTCCTATCTCAAAATAAATCTGTGGTGAGAAAAACTTCCAATCTTTAATCAGCTTTAGATGTGAATCAGAACTCTGTTTCAGGGTCAGATCTATTTAGAGTGTCTGCTTCAGTAGTTACATTAGCTAAAACAAACTAAAGTTTACAAAGGTCTATAGTGAAGCAGCATGTGAACACAAGAGTCTTTTATTTTTAATGCAGTGCAACCCAATTCACAGAGAATACAATCTATTTTTAATGAGAGTCTGGCTTTTATCCAATCCTACACCAGGATTTACTGAAGCATGAAGAACTAGCCCAAGTGAAGTGCGCTGATGTCTCTCTGGATTAGAGAGGCAGGTTCCTCAGCCTACAAACACTTCTTTAACCCTTTACCATTAACGTTTTCATCCTGGAGCACAGAGTTTTTCTAAATAACTGTATTGGATGTAGTAAATGGGAACAATGCCGTCTGGGCCACCCCAAGCACGAGAAGCTGACAAGACTGCTTTTTACAGTTGTTGGAAGAAGGTAACTGAGTAGAAATTAGAATCTAAAAACTGTTTATGGGGATGGAGAGGTTCACCCAAATATGATACCATTCTCCAAAACCAGTGTGTCACATAAAAGCTAGATGGCTGACAGGATAAAGGACAAAGTAAATATAACTACTAGGAGGAAAAATTAGAAAACTGTGTGAAGGGAGGTTACAGTAAATCAAGTAACAAGATAAGTGTGTAAGTTATTTTAAAGGTTATCTAAGTGTTACCTACAGCTAATGCCCACTGGTACCATAGAGAAGTGGAAGAGAGTGATCAGAACCCAAGTTCTTGGCCACACTGACTGTGGTGCTGAAGTGCTACATGAGTCAGAAAGGGTGGTGGATGAGGAAAGAAATGGGCACGTGAACCGAACAGAGTTTTGTTGACCATTTTTTAAAATGTGTGAAGAGGAGGCAGTTTTAGATTGAGCTACATGGAACATGCTCTAGAAAGCTGGATAATGAGATATACAGGACAGAAGTTGTAGCAAAAGAACTGAAAAAGGAGAGACTTAAGGTATAAACTAAGGCAGATCAAGCTATCAAACAGGAGATTATGATCAACAGTAGCCAACCTTACAGACTCCCCTCTCCTCCTTCCCAGTCTAGGAAAAAGATGGAAACCCCGTTCTTGGGGTTCTTTCTGAATATAGATTCAAACGTCTGTCTGCTTGCTTCTCTCTTTTGAGCTACGAGGGGTTCATATGTGTCAAGATAAAAATAATCTATATTAGTCAAATTTGTTTCCTAACTGAAAATCCTTCCATCCTTATTTAAAATCAGAGAACTAAAACAAAAAAAAATTATAAGACAAAAAAATCCATGTGAAAAATGCTTACAAGAGAAATGCTTAATTTATATTAACAGGAGAACTGCTAACTTAAAATTGTGTATAGTCTGGACATTTGTGTTGCATTGCTTACACAATGGGCTTGTAATCACTGTTACTTCTGGTATCAGTGTCTTGGCAGACCAAGGACAAAGCAGTAACTTAAAACCAGCTGTTTCACACATGTGCAATGAAGAGAAACTGGAGTGAACTCCTACAGTACAAATAACACCTCACAGCCAGTAACCTTATAACCACAGTCATAGTCTGAACCCAGATTACTTTTTATCCCCTAAAACATTGTTAGTAGTTCAAAAACTAAGAATATCCTGATGTTTTTGTTGTTTTTATGCTGCGCTGTCTTCTTTGTTACAAGACGTTTTCATTCTGGGAAAGAATTTTCATCCCTGAAGAATACAACATTCATGCATGAGAAGCTGAACAGAAAAAAATCTTCTACTTTTGGATCACTTTAGGAGCTGAAGAGTTCATACATGAAGCGGTGTCAGGGAAGTTATTAAAGCCCCCACAAAGTGTACCATCATTCCTATTCCATGGACATGTTTTAACAGTACTATGAAGAGGGAGGGAATAATGAACCACTTTAATGTCTGTGGCCAGTAGAACACAGAGACTAAAGTATAAAGCGTCTGATTTTGGCTAGAGAAAGAAGAAAAAGAAAGTCACCAGGCATGGTTCTGACTTACCTATCTGGATTGTCAGCAGCACAGACAGAATCAATTAGTCCTACATCGAGTGTACCCTATAAACAGATATCCAACCAGAAAATGAGGAAAACGTTTACTATTACATTACTCACAGTACTCTTCTGAGAGACACGTGAAAGGAGCAGCAGCTTTGATCAAGCAAACTGAACTGCAGATTTGGGCATCAGTTTCTTTCAACCATTAAAACTGCTGAGGGGAAAACTAAGACACTTGAATGAACAGATTCAGTAAAGATTACCTGTAGTTAAGCTGAAGGCAGCTCAAAAACTGCTCTTTTCTATGTTTCCAAACCTGCTTGAATTTTTTACTGGAAAATGCCACCCCAATATGAATGGCATCCTCTCAGAACAAACTTCTGAAGCCATTAAGCAAAAGTTTTTGTTTCCCTTTGCTTGAAATTAGGTTCCAAATGTATTCCATTTATTACCAGTGTATGTTATACAGAATGATAAATGCAGGACCAGAGAAATCTTGAATTTTCAACTCTTCGATTTTTAATTTACTCATTAACTGTATCTTTGCAAAACTTCAAACTGGACCAGAAAAAAACCACCCCAAACCCAACAGTCATTTTTCATCAAGGTGAATGATGGAAGAGGAATCAGAAGTCACACTGTCTCCCTGTACAGCTGCAGGACCAAGGACATGGAGGCTCTAGCCAGTGTCACAGCTACTGCCACACTTAAGGAAACCTAGGTTGTGACTCTCAGAAGGTGTGGCCACCACAGTGTCCCTCTTTTCTAGAAATATTTGCTTTGAAAAGTTCTTCAGATTCAGACTTACCACAGCATTCTGTGGATTTGCCTGCTCATCGTGCATCTCCCGGATCTCTTGCTCTGTGGACGCATGGACTTGACTCAGTACACTAAACCACTGGCTGGGGAGAGAAAGGCAGCAGTGTAAGAGCAGATTTTGCTTCTGCACAATTGTTGTGTCACCTTTGTTCTGCAGAGATCTAGCAGGTTCTACAGGTTTTTGAAATTGCTTAAGATTCCTTTTGTCAACAGGCATAAAAGCAGCAAGGCTTTATGTGAGTTCAAGTAATACCGGGTGCAAGCAAGCCCCTCCAGGTCTCCCATCCAAGCTCGTGTCATACTCTTCTTCCTGAAGACAAGTACCTTCTACAATAAGTGGCATCTCTGAAAAACTGGTGTAAGCACACTGAAACATCTGAGTGCCTACAGAGTATTTGTAACACATTCCACACATTTCATCTGGAATAAAATACATTACTAGCTGCACACAAAGACTTTAATGGGAAACTTAACATTCAGGTTATAAATTCTGCTGCACTGATAGCGTGACTGGTAATAATTTCTTACAGTGATACGTTTTCAAAGACAACCCAAGTCCTCTGCAGAAGCACAACTAAGAGGGAAAAAAGAATAAAAGCCCCAAACAAATACCTCTACAGTTTTTGTTTTCTATGGAGCACTGAAAAATCCAGCTGCTGGAAAGGCCAGTGAAGTTGGACCAGAGCAAATCTGTGCCATTCCATTGGCACTGCATATATCCTGAACAGGAAAACTGGCAGAGGTTTCCAGTACTTCAGCCCATAGCAATTGCAAATGGATTTAATTCTAACCACACCTTCTGCTTCTGGGAAATCTCTATCCTCCTGGCACTTGTATATGATAAAGCTCAACTGCTCTAAGCAATCCCACTGAAATCTGAGGGCAGAGCTTGGCCTGTTCAGCAGGTTCCTGAATGCCATTCTTTGAGATATGAATTTGCCATTCTAATGAAAAACACCTGGGGCCAAGTTTTCAAAGGGATCTAAAGCAAAGCCTTTAAAACAGACTCCTCACTTTACAGCAGAGGCTCCTCCACCACCGTGGAGTTGAGGAAACAAATGCAAAATTATTGGACTTGAATACAAAGTTATCTTTGCGGCAATTGCTTATAGTCATGGAATTGATATGGAGGACACTCAAGAGCTGCTTCCTTAACTTCAGCATTCAAATGCCAACTGTTCCCCATAATGTAGATTTCTGGAAACTAAACTGCCAAAATAGCTTCAGAAAACTTGTGTAGGCTGTCAAACAGTATCATCCCTGCCATATCCTAAATCCTTTCTATCAGCTTACGCTTTAATTAGAAACAGTGCAAGGCATGAAGAAAAACAAAGATTTAGAGTGCCAGACCGTGAAGCAGATGAGAACATATTTAGTTCTGATCCTTTTTTTAAGACTCAGAGATACCCACAGAGAGGTTGTGCTTAACACTTTATTTGCTGGAATGTAAGACAATGTCACTGAAAACCTGTAAAAAGAAGGGAAGCTATCATCTAGAGAGAAGGAACCATCAGCTGAAAAAACTACAGAAACTGAAGAAAACTAAACCTCATCTACCAAAAAATTCTCAGAAATTAAATTCAGTTTTCTTTTTTGGGCTCAGGAATTGCAAATGTATTTAAATGTGAATCTTCTATTTAAATACAAAAAAAAGACTTCATAGCACTGTATGCACACTCAGTAATAATTTATTAATTGATTTTAAAGGTAAATTCTGATTTTTTCCTGATTTCATGTAATCTTTGTGTAAACAATGGAAAATAAATTAATCATGGCACTTTGCAAAAGACAAAGGCAGACTTTAGTTTTGCTTTCTTCCCTCCTGGGACCTCCTCTGTCTTTCAGCTGAGTCCCAGAACACAAGAATAGGGAAAAAGACAGGTTAGGGTTTTAAAGGAATAAACTCTCAGTAATGGCTGCCCATTGGAGCATTACTTCTTTCCTCAAATACACTTCCATGATCAAAAATAGCAATTCCTCTTTTAGGGGTGTATGCCATGTTTCTCTTGGTTTTTGCTTTCATTTGAACAAAAAAAGCAACCTCAAATCATGACTCAGCCCATGTACAAAATATTTTTTCAACAGCAGATCCAGACCCAACACAGTCCAATGATTCATACTTCACTTTTAACAATGCCAAACATTAACACTGATTTAAGGCTGTCTGCAAATCCTTACACATCTCCCTCATTAAGGTTTCTGGGATGACTGAGAAAAAAGAAACATGAAATACACTTGTGAAACAGAGTTTAATCTGGATGGTATGTTACGTGTACTATACACATCAATACTGTATAGTGCCTCCTCCTCCATGTTTGAGAACGAATTGAAAGATATGCATGGCAACAGACAAGTCTGTGTGCTGATAATTTCTTACTGGTCCCTAGGGCAACTACACAAGTCTGACAGAAGAGACTTTAGCTAAGCCTTCATTTTAAAATATATCACACAAGAATCTTAACAGTAACTGCTAGAAAGCTCCTAAGTTATTTCAAGAGTAATTTTAAAGATTCCTAAAAAAATGAAGAAAGATTCTGTGTTGTAAGCATTGCTACATCTATCCTCAGGGTCTTGTGACAGAGGAAGGTGTTCTACCTTTAAACAGAACAAAGACACTTTTGAGCCTTCAGAGCAAAGTAGCTCAGGTGATGTTGACAAAGGCATCCTGTATTCTGGCCTTGGGGCAGCAAAGCAGTGGTTAATAAGCTTTGATTACTAAGTTGACTTTATTTAAATGCTTGATTTTTATAGGCAAACATATTATTATCTCCCATGAACTGTAGCATGGGGATTTTTTTTTTTAAATATGCTTTACAACTGATCTGACAAGTCAGGCTTGCTCCTCACCTAGCATCCTCCCCCTTGCTTTTGCAACAAAAGCAAGAAGACCCTTTCTAAATCAGCAAAAAGGGAAACACTCTCTTGCACACTCTTCTTATTTAAGAACATGGTTTTGCTCTAAAAAAAAGTGACTGCATTACAACTTCTATCTGAAAAAATTATGGGCTTTGCTTAGGCGAACAGATCCCAACCATAAAGAATAAGGTGTTTTATTTCAGGTAGATTAGAGGGTCTTAAATATTGATTTGATCTATGCAGCTAAACACAGCAAGGTAATGCACAAGAGAAGCAGCAGTGGCTAACATCTGCCTCTCTACAGACACACAGTATTTCAGAAAGTTGCTAGGAATAGATGGGTAACAGCCAAATTCTAGGCAAATTTTCATTGGCAATCTGACTCTTCCCAGTAATGGTCTGCCACAAGATCTTCTCAGCAGGCCTTTGAAAAACTGGGTTAAATGCAATGTGTTTAACACCGCTGGAATATTTTGTGACAATGGTCAAACAAATTAATGACAGGCACAAGTCAGAATGGCATAGAGATTAAAAAGAGGGGAAAAAAAAGGAAGATAGGCCTGATGATTTTCATACCTTGCATCCTCAGGAGATTCAGCAATTAAGTGGTAGGTCCTATCACCCATTATTAGATCAATACCATTTTCTTTGCCTGTATTATCAACAATCTCTCTGCAAAAAGGAAAACACCAAGATTGAGCATTACAGATTATGAACATTCTGAAAATTCTGTTCTGCTGAGAGGCTCACAAACTACTGATGCTTAAAACAGCAGCAGTCAGCCTTCATCAGGCTCATTTGCAAGACTCACAAAGTGATTTATCAGACAGCATTAATTCACCAAACTACAGTCGTGTTTTCTGTCTGTACAGTACAAATATTCAAACTATTAGGAATGTTGCTATACCAAGTTGCCTATTCTGTTACCATTTTAACAAGAAGTAATGAAAAAGTAAAGCATTATCAAACCTCAAGAGAGGCAGGGATGACTGATTTGAGAAATGGATATATTTCTGAACTGACTGCATAACCAAACGATTTTTGGAGTGGTAAAAAGAAAGCTCTTGAAGATTAAAAACTAAAAGCAGACAAAGCCTGGATTAGTGATTCTGTGTGGTTGTGAGTCAGCATAAAGACAATTCCAAACATGACTTCCAGAAAAAGCTGAGCACTCTATGCTAAAAATGACATCTTTCTAATTTTTAGTTTGGATATCTAAGTATCAACAAATTGAACAATTTTGAACTACAGAACATAAGATTTTTTAAGGAGTAATTAAAGTATTACATTAGATTTCCCTGAAAGTTAAGAAAGCAACTTAGATTTCTTTTTTGCTGTTTTGCTGTATTTGTCTGAAGCTTATTATTTCCTTAACTAGCTATATTTTCTTATCAGCTATATTATGTTCATATATCTCTATCCTATAAGAATATATGCAAGCTCTGCTTATTGGGCTCCTGAGGACAATTTATCTGCTATCAAAACAAAAAGCTGTAATTCTCTACTGTTTTCTTTAATTTGGTTTCCTTCCCTCCCAATAACAATGTCCAAAAGAACACCCCCCTGTCCTGTGTTTTAAGTGAATCAGCCTAAGATTTTTTAAATCAAACAGGGTCCCTAATATGGAGTGGTGAAATATGTAAGTACCATGGTAGGTTAGAAATGCACTCAGTAAATATTAAAATTACCTAGAAAAGCTATTGTTTATATCTTATGAAATACAATTCTTGAAATACAAGTGCTCTTACTTTTTCTTTTAGCTATTTTATACACAAATGCTCATTGATTGAACCTACAGTTCAAGTTAGGTTCAACAACCTTCACCTGACAATTTTAAAGGTATGTTCAGCAAAGAACTTCTACAGGGCACAGTCAATGAAGCAATGTGGCAACAACAAAAAAAAGAAGGATTGAACGTATCAGAAAAATATGCTAAATAAATGCTATTGCACATGAGATCGAGTGAAATCCAGTTTCAAAAAAAAAAAAATGCAGTAGGAACTTCAGTTTCTATTCAGAGATTTACTTGACAGTGAACAGCTCATTGCTTTTACAAGGGCAAGTCAGGCTGCTCACTGAAACTATTTACTGTCCTGCCTGAAATCAGGCTCAGGCCAGGACTTCCAAAGAAAAGATTAATCTGAGATCTCAATTTAGTTTTAAGTTCTCTGTTAAAGTACCAAAATAAACTGGATAGTTGCAGATTACAAGGTGCAAAGTGGAATTGAGCGTTACAAACCATTTCTATTTTTCTCTACTTTGGATGAAAGCGTAGGTACACTTTATACAGAATGAGACTACCAATGTTAGCACACTTTAATTTTTAAATTAGCTAGACAATTTAGAAGGAAAAATACTATCCCTTAGAAAACTTTTTTTAATGCATGCTTCAGGAAGCATAGAATTTTAAGGCATAAGGAACTGAGTTAGCAAAACATAAGTTATTAGATTTAGTAATTCTGTTTTTTTAATATATGCATTTTAAAGAATTTTCCACACTACTACAATTATTTCAAACATGAAAAAAATCTAAATACAGACAGAAGATTCAGCTTTGACCCAGGCAAACTTCAATATATTCAGGGCCTATTAATTCCACCCTCCCCATTCTTGGTTTGCCTGCAGCTACAGACTTGGCAACATGTCCCAGATTGTCTTGGGAATCATTACAGACTAAGTAGGGCCTCCAGTCTGGGAGAAAGCATAGATGGGTTCATTATACCAGCAGTTTTCTAAAGTATTTGGCACTGGCTTAGCTCTGGAGCACTCTGTAGAGTTAAAAGAGAGCCAGCTAAGGACAACACTTGCTTTCAATAACTTCATCATACACAGTCTCATGCTTGCATTCACACAATTTGTAGGCAGGGCACTCAATGTCTTCTCAGATTAAGCTCCAAGAAGTACTTAGGAGGAACCATGGCTAACATATAAAACCATATAAACCTACTTGGCAGTTCGGACATCCATGGCACCCTTTAGCTTTTCTTCACTGTCATTTTCAAAGTACATCAACCTGGACTGTCTGAGAACAAACCATCGTTTCTTCCAGTTCCTTCTGGAAAGTGTAGATGATCCACCCCCCTTTTTATGAAGCCAACCCTGCTTAAGTGCTTCCTGCTTGGAACGAAACCACAGGAAGGTCTCATCTTTCAGGACACACCAGCGTCGCTTCCATGTGTTTATTAAGCCACCTGGCAAGATAGACAAATGTAGGTTTATATACAGTTAAAACAAACAACTATATTATAAAATAGAAGCTGTGATCACACCAAAACTGGAAGATTCTGACCAACAACACTGCAGTTAAACTGAGCTTCTGCTGTAAGCCACAACCCTCATTTTTGCATATCCTTACGGCCATCAATATTGTTGTCAATCTAAACCCCCTTAAATTATAAATTATAATAAGTCTCTATATTACAAAAATATATGTAACATATATATATAATTACATATACATATATACAACATATATATAATTAATAAATTATCAAAAAGTCTTACTGCAACATGAGACTAACACTGTTTTCAATGTATTTCAATGATAATCTAAGAAAAGTTTACTGTTAAACTCTTTCCTTTCTCCAGGTTATTGGAAGGTAACAACATTTACCTCAAAACCACAAAATCTGGCAAAGCTATATTTAGAGTAGGAAATATACCAGTGGGAACTCCGTCATACCAAAGTGGTAGACAAGGTACCTTGCACTGTAGTTACATAACAGTCATTAAAAACCTTAACCAAGCCAATATACTCCTGTGATCCCACAAAAACTTCTTGCTTGCTATGTCAGTAAAAACCCTGTTACTGACTACTGCATTATTTTTCACACAAACAGAGCGATGCATACATTCATTACTGTTCCTATTCCAGGAAAATAAGCTATGCTACAGTGATGAATATCATACAAGGATTCACGGAGATTATAATTTACTAATCAATCATCAGAAGATATACCCAACAGTTTTAACCAGAGAACTGTTGTGTATGTTCTTTCTGAGTCTCTCACACCCTTTTGCTACACATAACCTTTCTTGTGTCTTCCAGATCCGAAGTGATATTTGACTAAGGTCAATAAAATTGATCTGCAGTGTAGAATGCTGTCTATGTTACAAGGTTTTGGAAGCGAGAATCTGATTTCCTCAAAATTTGAGGTCAATTGGTACAATTTGACTTCATGAGTTATTCTTCTACATTTATACTGAATATTCCATTGTTTGCGAGCCAGCGAAGATAAAATGAAACAGAGGAAGCCAACATATTGATCTTTCTTTGCAGAGGGGAAAAACACTGATTTAGTGGTTTTAAACCACTGATTTAGTGATTTAAACTCCTGCAGAGGGATAAGCCACTGCAAGTAACTCAATTTGAGAACAGCTCAAATTAAATAAAGTCACTTTTCATCATCCTTTCAAAAATAAGAAAATGGCTTAACTCTACAGGAATTGGAGTATAAAATATAATAAATACTTCTGGTTATTTTGTATATTTAGCAAATTCTGATTCACCCAGTACCTTTCATGTACAGAAAGCTGTGAAAGTAGGGCAGGCTGACACAGCTATACACTGAATCCCTCCGGTAGGAAAGTTCATCATCTGTATCAAACCTGGAGTCAAAATCTTCTTCACTGTCTTCAAACTACAGAAGAAAGGAAATAAAGATCAAAATCTCTCAGGAAAGAGTTTAGATAAGATTGGTTTAGAAGTCTCTAGCTAAAACATTTTATCATGTATTGCAACAACATGATTCCTCATTGTTTTTCATACATCTAACAAAGGAAGGAGTACATTGTAGTAAGCTGCAGTTTAAACTGTGTGATTACACAACAAATACACCCAGGATGGCTCTCTGACTGGCTTTCACTGCTTCAACTGTAATAGCTATTCTAGTGTTAAAGTTTTCCTTCTAAATAAGTCAGTGTTGCTGAAATACCTTTTCACTTGGTGAGACAGTCTCACAGAACTACTTGGTGAGTGGTAAAGGAAATAATATTCTTTCAAAAATATTTGTAGGAGTAAAGCCCACAATATTTTCATAAATAGCACTGAAAAGGAGATCCTCAGTATGACTGTCTGCTTCAATAATTTTAATATCTGCCATTGTGTGAACTTTACTCTCCAAGTAATCTCAAAATATGCCTGTCATTTCAGGGACTTCTTGAAGCAGCTTATTTCCAATACTGTTACAACTTGCATGCAACTGAATCTTTTTTTCCTGAAATCAATTTCCCAACATGCTATCTGGTACCCCAGTAATAGTAACTTAAAATAATGACAATAACTTTGCTTATAAATGGCATCCAAGGCCATGCACTGAACTCCTCTAGGTAATGTGCAGTTCTGCATTATAACAGTTAAAACCATATCTGTGCAGAAGCCCAGGACTGCAAGTAGCATCTGAGCTACCTCTGACTCTAATGCACTCACCTCAGTGGCATCTAGATGGCAACAGACAACTATTTCCATATGCACTCTAAGCAAATCTAGCTACACAATGCAGACTTTTCTCAGAACAGCTACAGTGACTCTACGGGGGCACAGCAGGGAAAAAAAAATCAGAAAGCACGTATCATTTATTAGATAATAAAACCAATGATACTTACAGAAGACTGAGCTCCTTCAGAGCTAAATCGGTATGCTCCAGAGCTATTGTACGTCCCCACTGAGCACCGGTAGTCTGGTGACCACTGGCTACTGTGCGAGTTAGAGAAGGTCACACTGCTACCAGAAGTAATAGCACCATCTTCATAATCGTCTTGGTCGTAATCGTAGTCCCCGTCGGGAGAAATAAGTTCCATAGAATTTGGGGGTCTACACGACACATTTTCTGGCATGCAGTATGTGGATTCACCGCTCGAAGAGTTGTGGAGACTGACTGCGTCATGGGCAGGAGGTATAAGCATGGTGTCACCAACAGCAGGAATCGTTGGCACCACAGTATCATTCATATAGGGATCTTCTTCTGAGGAATCATCACTTGTTCTGATGCCACTGGTTCTTTGATCAGAATGGCCATGCTCACTTGGGTTGGGCGAATCCTTAAACGCATCATCATCAGCTTCAAAGCCCTCATCTACCTCCTCCTCAGGATATGGCTGGCTGAAGTTAAAATTGGGCTTTTCACTACAGGCATTTCCAGTCTGTTCAGTCAGCTCAGCAGGATACCCATTGCCCACAGAGAGAGACCTCTCAATGTTTCGGACACATTCGTCAATCTCATCAAAGTTCAGAGATTCCAGGAACTCCTGGGCTGCTCGACATGCTTCATCCTCCAGCCGCCGGAGCTCCTCATCTCGAAGTTGCTGCAGCCTCTGTAATGAAGCCTCTGTCAAGGACAGCTCCTGCTGCTTCTTTACACGCTGCAGGTCCTCGATTTCTTTTTCCAGACGCAGGATTTCTTCCACCTGCCTGCTTTCCTTCTGCTTCTCCACCTCTTGCTTCAGCTCTGCCTCCTTCTGGGCTTTCTGAATGGCGGCCAGTTCCTGCTTTTTTCTCTCTTCTTCAGCCTGCATATAAAATAAAACAAAACAAAACAAAATCAAATAAAGCCCCTAAGTGCAAGGTTCTTTCTTAAAATTTATTTCTAAAGCAGTATACCGCATCATGCTCATTCATTTAAAAGGCAGCCTACCTCTATGTCAGCAAGAAAAGGAAAGAAAAATTCAAACATGATTCCATTTGTTCAGATACTGGAAGCTCAAGTATGTGCAGAAAATTCAATCTTTTCCAGAAATTACATGAAGCATGAGGTGAAGGAAATTTCCATGCAAACAACTGTATCGAGTTTCCTTTGGTTTTATCTGCCAACTCCTGTAATAAGTTTAGTTTAAATGCTACAGATGCCTTTTATTTTTTTAATTGCTGGGTTGAGATACTCAAATAAACAGGATGGCTGAAAGCATTAGGAATATCATTTACCTGCTGGGCAAGACGCTCTGCTTCTTGCCTTTGTCTTTCCCTAGAAGTGAGGGAAGAGAAGCGGTTAGTCAATCAAGCTCAACATAAGCTCATCACATTCCTTTTCTAGAGCAACAGCTCAACTTACAGGGATCATCTGCCACATGGAAAAGAAAGCCAAAAATAAGGTCACCGTGAATGTTTGTGAATATGAAACTACTATGATAGCTACATGAATCTTTTAGCAAAAGAAGCAAAGGTTTCCAAAATCCCTTGATTTGGAATAGCCTGAAATAAAAGGCTATTTAGACCAACATCTAATATGGCACAGACAAGAGAGTGATGTAAGACAGTATACTGCACCTTTCTTCCTCCTTTTTCCTTCTTTCTTCCTCTTGTCTCTGCTTCTCCTCTAGTCGCTCCCTGTAAAGACGTCGAGCAAGCTGGCCTCGCCGCTGCTTCTGAAGAACTATGGCTGCTTTCTTTAGGCACAGGAACTTTTTCCTTCCACTGAAGGCTCTGTAGTTCTTCTGTATCACAACCACATAGTAGAGAACCTTTCTATACCGCTTTCTGGGGATGAAAAATAAAGAAGGAAAATTCTAATGAAACAATGAACTAAGGAGCAGTTGTGAGGGATCTTGCCGTGGTGACCTGCAATCACAGAATCACAGAATATGCTGAGTTGGAAGGGACCCAACAAGGATCATCGAGTCCAACTCTTAACCCTGCACAGGACCATCCCCAAGAGTCACACCACGTGCCTGAGATTATCATCCAAACGCTTCTTGAATGCTGTCAGACTTGGTGCTGTGACCACTTCCCTGGGGAGCCTGTTCCAGTGCCCAACTACCCTCTGGGGGAAGAACCTTTTTCTAATATCCACTCTAAACCTCCCCTGACACAGCTTCAGGCCATTCCCTTTGGTCCTGTCACTGGTAACAACAGAGTGCCTGCCTCTCCTCTTCCCCTCATGAGGAAGTTGTGGACTGCAATGAGGTCTCCTCTCAGTAATAGCTCTAGCTCTGTGATGGTTTCTCCACTGTAGTTCACATTCTTCTCTCTTTGAGAAGAAAGAGATTCTCTCATTGCTTTGACAGCACTTTCTGTGTGTTCATTTAAGGATATGCACATTACCTGCCTTACATGTTCTTATCCCCCTGACATGGAGATGCTAAAAGGACAGCTCTGTGTGTGTGCACACATGAAGAGAAAGAATATACATAGATAGTCATCTCACATCTCTGAAAAGAAAGACCATCGACAGCAGGATAACTTTGTCATTAAAAAAAGGATATAGTTTTTAAGTAACATACTGGTCAGAATATAAGAACAGGGCTAATATACACATGAAAAGAAATTACCTCATTATGCAAACAAGCTTTCTTAAACTGTCCTCAACTGACTTGTAAAAAAACCAGAGAAATAAACAGATGGGATGAGTAACTCCACCTACCACATAATGCGTGAAGCCAGGTAGATAAATGAAACATTAATCAGTAACCTAATGTCATGGTTCTCTAAGAACCAAACAGATTAGTTTTATTAGCCTTTTCTTTTCTCACCATGATGAAGCAAAGATTAATCATGATCTCAGCTGGTAACTTGGGGCCGCCCCACTAGGTGCCATCCACCATGGATCTAACACCATGGATCTAATGCCATGATACAATCCAATGGATACTGGCTGACCTCCAAATTTTTGCACTGTCCTATTAATTATATTAAAACTTTGTTTTATTCATGGGTATTTTCAGCTGGTATTTTCAAAAGCCACTTACCGTATTTGAATGCCTGGTCCTTAGAAAAAGTTAAGAATCGTCTCAGAAGGATTGACATCCCATCCACTTATTTCAAATCCTGATAATTAATATTCTCATCTAGTCACTTACCGGGCTGCGTAACCTAAGATGTGTGCTCGGATAATCATTGCTGCCTTGGTGACTTCCACTTCTCGCTGTTTCTCCAACTTGTGTTCCAAGGATTCCCGGAGAAACACCTACGTAAGAAAACTTCTGGTTTAACAACTTTTGGAGAACATTATATTTAAAGGACAGCCATGGTGCTGCCAATATTAGTCCAAACAGTAAGCCTCAGCTTTGAATTCAGAGACAAATGCACTATTTCCTCAGCAGAAAATAAAGTATTCTTTTAAAAGAAAATATTTGTAGATGATCCTCTAACCTTGGATTTCAGTGGGAAGAGTGATTACTGGAACTTTTAATTAGGAGCAGGGTTTTTCCAAAAAACCCCATAATTACTGAATTCATTGAACAGCCTTTCCCATTAAAGATTAACACAGGTCAGAGAAGCTGCAGGACTTATAATGAACTTCCCATTTTGAGGGGCAGTAATACCACCCCAAAAATTTAGCTGTTCCACAATCACATCAGATTGTGACTTACAAGCCTTGCTGCTTCCAATGACACTACTATAGGACTGCAGAAGTAAACAGAAATGAGAGTGTTTTCATATTCACATTGACTTGACTGTGCTTTCCTGCTGTTACACAGAAAGAGCTGCCAGGGTCAGACACCCCACCACAGCCAGCCACTATCCCATGGGCAGACTGCTTCCCAGGCTCTCTTCCAAGCACTAACCTGGATCACTCACCTGAACTGCCTAGTGCCTCTTAGAGGCAGCTTTAGCATGTGACATTGACATACGCTGAGCTAACACAGCTTATTTTACCTTAAATGAATAAAACTGCTTCTCCAGACAAGTAGGGTCATGGGGAAGGCAGCTTCCCTCTTCCACCTGCCTTGACATCTGCTCTTTACCACACATTCACATACTGGTGAGCTATCTGCTGTCAGCGCTTTTTGCAGCTCTTCTCAGCTTCTCTTTTCTGAAGGCCAAGTCTGCTGGTATCAGCTATAGGTGACAACAGCCTGGCATGCCTAACACATGGGCAGCTGAAAATAGCCAGTGCAGTGATATGTTGATTAAACAGGATGAGAGCCAGGCTGCACACCACAACATGGCAATAAGGAAAGCTCATGGACAGGGTGGGATCTGGTAAGGGAGAAGGGCTGTAAAGACATCTAAAAGCAGGAATCTTTCCTTGAAGTGTTTTAGGTTTTCTCTTGCTGTGAAAAAAAAAAAAAAGCACCAACCTAAAAAAAGAACCCCAATGGACTTCTGGGGGTGTCCAAATGCAAAAGAAGGTAGTTTTCCCTCTGCATTTATGTGAAAAAAAGCCCATCATCAAAGCCAAAACAGTAGCACTCTTGAGGAGAGGCACAGTTGTGAGTTTTGAACAAAACTAGAAAGAGACTTTCTAGCACAAATTACCCAACAGTAAGGAACATAAAAAGTTCCACAGAAAGTCTCAGAGTTCCAATGTCTAAGTTGCACTGGGCAGCTCTTTCTATACAATGTTTTTACTAGTGGAAAAAGCCTTTTCTTTCACTCAGTGGGCAATGTTTCTTTGCTCTGAACACAGTAGCTTTAAAAACACACCAAAATTCTGCTTCAGAGAGGCATTCGGCTACTTCCTGAACAGAAATGGATGTTAAGCAGTTGTTAAGCTCAGGTTAATGCCTTTTCCTGAGCAGGTGCATTGCAGTTGGAGATGTAAAAGACAAGAAAAAAAAAGTCACACTGAAGCTAAATCATTATCAATTTTAAATAATGTAGGGGCAGGAGAGTGCCCCATCCCATGTTCAGTCTGAAACCAATGCCCTCTTGTTTTCCTCTACAATAAGCTGTTTATGAAGACTCTTACAAATGCACAGGCAGCTCCTGGGGGAGGACGAGCCCAGGCCCCAGGGAAGTTACAACAGAACTTTGACTCCTGCCAAGGTCCTGACGAGCAGCTGATTAAAACAATTTCAGGTTCTGATAAATATATGTCCCTAAAATGCCAAAGCACTCTCCGGCATCCATGCATAAATACTGTCAACACACTATATCAATAGGAAACACAGCCCAGCTCTGCAGCTGAATGTTACCACTGTGCTGTCTGTAAGCCATTGTCTACATAAATGGGATGGAAGATGACATCAATTGCTAGCAGAATATTTCATATTCTATTACAGTAACTGTAAAATGATTAAAACAACTTTCCCAACAGAAATCTGAGACTCCTTAAGCACACAGAATGGAAGAAACCCTTCAAAACTATGCAGTTCTCAAGAGAAAAGGATAAGGGGAAGTGTGTTTCATACAGAAATCAATAAGATTTTAAAAAATATTTTTGCTACCTTATGGCACTGAGAAAGGTTTTAAAAAACTTTTTAATATTTAGAAAGTCTCAAATCTTGCAATGGGGAATCTTCTCTTGAGTCCAAAATGCTTGTGAAAGCATTTGTTAAAGTCCAAGAGCACAAATCACAAGCTGTTTTCTGAAATCAAACTTGCAAAATGAGCATGCAAAAACACTTGGATTGTTTTACTTCTCAAATTAAAATTTGATTATTTTAATTAAAATAATTTGATTTAAAAAAAAAAAGCTCTGGGCTACATCAATGTCTAGTTTACCTCTGAAACAGATTCTCAGATTAGAATGACAAACACACCTTGGAGCTCAACTCTGCCACATGAACACTGGCTAAAATTCCTTCCCGATTTCTGCCACTGAAGAGGCATCATGTAGGTGGGTTTACTAGTATGAGTGGAGCTCCCTGCAGAACAAAAGTGTTAGCTCACATGCTCCATATTTCTAAAGATGATAAAATCCAAATGCCATATTTCAAGTTCTGATCCTCACCAGTGCTATCACTTGTGAGCAGTGACAGAAAATTCAAGTGGACTCTTTCTCCATGACTGAAATCACCAGTCAGTGTCTAAGTGCCTTGGACAGCAAATTCCTCAGCATAACCATTAATTGTTGCTATAAGAGTTTCAAGAGCACCAACAGGCATGCACAGCTTCTTTTAAGGCCAGAAGTAATTACCATTACAGCTACATTTCTGCAGCTGTGCAGTCTAAATACTATCCCCTCAGCTTTGTACAAGCACTAGCCCCACAATATGCACAGTCAGATTATTTTACCTTATTTTTTCCAAGCTGCCATTCAGTGCTTGTGTTGTCATACAGACGAAGTAGGACGGCACATTTTTCATTTAAATCTTCAGGCAGAGTTAAGTTTCTCATGAGGACTTTATACCTGGCAAACAAAAAGTATTTATTGCTTCATTTAAGTTCTATTTTTGCCATATTGTTTTTTTTTTCTTTTTACTTTTATTCCTCAACACAGGAATGTAGGCTTAGTACCCGTGATTTACAGCTGAAGTGCACAAGTCAGTGTGTTTACCTTTTATAAAAGTCTTGAAAGGGCCTCCGGACTGGGAAACCAGCCCTCCGAATCCTGACCGTCTCCAACATCCCAGAATAGCGCAGCTGGTTAAGCACCACTGTCTGATCAAACTGGTCTGGCATCTAAAATGAGCAGGTTCAAACCAACAGTTTTAATAGCAATGGTTAGAGATGTCAGGGGAAATAAAGAAAGGGAAAATTGTATGAATCTGAAATGCACAAAGGTTTAAAACTGGCTACACAATGTCTTACAGGATATTAGCAGTTCTGAGCATACAAAAATGTATCTACAGAGTGAAAATCACACAGTAATTACACAGTATCATTTCCACAAACACAGCATTTACAGTCATTTAATCTAATCAGCTCTCTCTTTTCATTTTATGTATATTTGCAGACCATCGTTGTGCAGGAAGAAACAACAGGAAGATGCACAGGCAGCTAAGAGGTCAACAGCTGTAAGCTTGACTATTTTGCTTCTTTAGCAATTGAATTTAAAGTCCCTGTAGATGATTCCAAATGTTGAAGATACACAAATACAGTGGTATGATTTTAATAAAAAACAAAACCAAAAGGACAGAAAATACCCAATTTTTAGTATATTGACAATTATCTGCTATGGACAGGGAAGAAAATTTGCCAGTGGTACCCCAAATGTTTAATAAGCTGTATTTAAAAGAGTTTCTATTTGCTGCTAAACAGTAAAAATATTCTATTCTGTAAACAGAAAAAAAAATCTGCTTATCTGAAGTAAGTTTCCCTTAGTTTGCCTGAAGTTCTTTCAGTATAATTTTTCATTTAGAAAGCAGATAACCCCACAGCCACTCAGTTATGAAAACCTGTGAATACTGATCAGTATGATTCTGCTGCTGGGAGCCTCAGCGATCCTGTCATCCCATCTGAGAATCCTGTGGGTCACCTGTGCTTTCACCATCCTTTGAGGTAAACCAGCCACAGCCATGCAAAGCTACTCAAGATAGCACTAATTGCTGCCTGGCAAAGCACGGGCAACCCCTGTACTGAAATGCCACATGTAAATAAAACATTTAATTTATCAGCATGATTTATCATCATCCACTTTAAACCATCATCTTACCCTCCTGCACAGTCATTTGCAGGGCTGCAGTACAGTGTTTAGTATTTTGCAAGAAGTTCAGACAGGGGGATCTCACAGACACAGTCAGGGGTTCACATAAAGACCTGAAGGTCTTCAGTGACAGGACAGCAAGATCAAGCACTGGGCAACTATAAGTCAGAGGACTCTCTTGGTATTTAATGACAGGCTTTAATCATGTCTCTTGTTCAACTTAGCAAATAAATTACTCCCCCAAATTCAGGAAAGCAGAGACTCAAAAGTTCATTTCAAATATCCAGTATAACCTTTTCGATCAGTGCCTTTATCCACAGAACAAAACACTACATGCTAATGATGACACCTCTGAGTTGTCAATTAGTTAGCTTCAAAAATTTTGATAGATTGGCTTCTACCTGCCTCCTTTAAAAGACAAAATGTCTAAACAAAAAGTTTGCTATTGCTCCTTTCATTAATTTGTTTTCTGGAGCAGAGATGGGAGGCTCCTCTGCAGATGCAGCAGCCCTTCTGCGCTGAGCTGCTGTAAAGCTGCACAGATGAACGCTCCCCATCACTCACTGTTCCTCCAACAGAGAAAGACTTTCCAATGGAAAAACACCACAGCCTGGCCCTTCCTCCACAGTCAATAGCACCGAACAAAACTGAATAAACATTTGTGTTCTATAAAGTGGCTGGTTACCTCAGTGGGCCTTGTCCTGCCTGGGGTAATTAACACTCCGTGTGTGCCGACAGGACCCAGTCTGGTGCCAGTGGGCAGACTGGGGCTATGGAGAACATCAGCCACTGCCAGCAGCATCTTTTGCCCTCTCTCTGAGACAGCATCCAAAGGACACTCTAGAGCTACATCAACTCTGGACCACTCTGGCTGTTGTTACATTAATGACACTGTTACAAATGTGATTTAACGTTTTATTTCAATACCCATATGTATAAAAAAATGAAAATTCCAAAGGGGAAAAACGCCTCTGTGAAAGATGCCAACAAACTCATCTTTCTCAACAATGTGTTTCATTTGAATTTTGTCACCACGAGTAAAATACGCCATGAGCAAAATCTTTGTATTTTAGTGAACACACAGCATGAATGCTTACAATGAGGATATTGATATTGTCATGACTGGTATTGCCAACAGTGTTTTTTATATGTCTCCACTTTAAGGCAGCCAAGTGACTGCTGTTAGTTAGGGAACTAGCCTGGCAAAGCTGCCCTTTGCATGTCCATGCACACGCCTGTCTGCCTCTTTCTGTGCACATGACTGATGATGCTTGACAGGAAAGGCAGGAAAGGACATAGATATACGCACAAAAATCATAATGAAAAACATTCACTTTTCAACTTGCGTACCTGAAGGATGATGCTTGCCACAAGTGGACACAGGTCAATATATCTCTTTTTCTTTAACAATAAAATTACTTTTAGTCCATTAATCCCCCCCAAACTCACTGGCTCAAAAGGTGACATTCTTCATGAGACTTGCAAACACAACACTATTTTTGGTGCGTTGAGATGGGGAAGCAGATGCATAGATGGGAGTGGGGATACAGGTGAAATGCTAGTGACATGACAGATGTCTCTCTCACAAGGCAGCATTTCCCTTTGCAAGAGAGCACCTCCCACTTTAAAAGCCAGATGGCTGCTGCACCACCTAACCTTTTTATTGTCACCCCCAGGCACTTAAAGAGTCAAAAGTCACTCACACAGCTGGCTTGAAAACTCATGTTACTGTTTTAAAAAACTTTTTTGGGTCACAGAGGAAGAGGCAACATTTTCATAACATTTTTCCTGTAACTTCAGAAATTTGAAACAGTCTTGCTCTGTCACCAGAAGATGGGCTAGTCACACAGACATCTGATTTCAAATACTTGCATTTTTAAAGAAAACCATGAAACACTGCAAGAGATGTTAGCATGGGATCAATGCAGGGCAACATAGAAACCATTGCAATTTTAATCACATACTCCATCACTTTACATTGCTAGTTATTTTTAATTACTCACAGACACGAGGTTATTAAATTGGAGAGTCAAATCCTCCTGGCATATCATTGGAATTACATCTGCAACAAGTATGGCTGCTCTGAGTAAACCAGGGTGGTGGTAAGAGATGTGCTGGACTCATCTCTTGTGTTTTCAATACGGAATACTAGAAGATACCCCCCATTGCTTGGGGGTTTTTGACTGAGCCGTCACAGCAGCTCCTCACTCCTCAGTATGGAGAAGAGCTGCAGCTGGTCTTAGAGGGAGCCAAAACCCTAAACACTGAAATGCATCCAAGGTTTCCCATATCTAACAAAACCAAACAGAAGTAACAAATGCAGTTCATATATACTGGCAGCCACAGCAATACAGCAGATCCAACTTACAACTTGCCAAAACTCAGGTAGTTTTACTCTGTGGATGAAGAGGATTTCAGCCTCAATCATATAAACACTTGCAGGCAGGGATAACTTTAAGCATAACTTCAGTCAGAAGGACTCCTCATAATTAAAAAAATCAATTGCATGTGCATTTATTCAACAGGAGTGCAAGTACTGCATATACCCCACTACTGAACTGGAGATGCTTCTAAGACAGAATGTCCCATCTTCACTCCAACACTGCTTCGTGCAGCACTGAGTTAAATTTGCATTACTATAAAATCTCCATGCCAAGGGAGATGGTAGCTGATGTTCAGCCTTCTATCTTTACTCGTGCTCCTTCAGACTTCCTGTGCTAAGCAAACCAATTTTCCAAAATGATACAGGATGGGACTCATCTGTGGAGTCTGCTAAATTTCTACCATTATTGCTGTTAAAACTGGACTCGTTTCACAAATGAACACTTGGGAAGAAATTGTATTTTGTAGGAAAATTTCAGAGAGAGAACCATGAGTGATTTTAGAGCAATACATCTTCCACAGTAAAAATTTGAAATAATTTCTAAAACTAAGACTCCTGCAAAGTAAAATCAAATTTATAAGAGAGAAGGTAACAAGAAAGGAAGTCAATTGATAGTTTCCAAAATTGTCTGAGATGCAATCAACTCAAATTTCAATAGATAGTTCACTTTTATCATGGAATGGTACCACTAAACAACTACACACAAAATCACCAGACAACAGCTGGAATCACACCAGTCACAGCCATGTTGGGGCACTGAGCAACATAAGTGTGAAATTAATAACTACAAGTCAGGTCTGTTCTACTTGATAAGGGTTGTTTTTTGTGGTGCAGACACAACTTGTAATTCATTATTTCCTGAATCCAAAAGTCTCCACTGAATTTGTGCCAGACAGCACCAACGCCAAGTCTTTAATGTGACCTGGAGTCTCTGCTGATGAGACTTTGGCTCCTTAAGCTGCTAAATGCTTGCTCTGATCTGTAGTGAGTCTCCTAAGGGGCAAAGCTTCTGCCTAAAATCACAATTAGAAGCACCATTAGGACAGACATCTAACACCTATGGATAATTTTAGTGATAAAATAGTTCCTTAGATTACAGTCTGACTGAGCTTTGAAAAAAACACCATCCCTTTTGCCTGGACAGCACCCTTAGTGAAGACCCCAAGCATCCGAGTAACACAGAGAACACAACTCTTTTTCGTTCTTTGAATCATTTGCCCTGTTGAAACACAGAGGATACCTGACTTCACTCTGAGGAAATCCTTCTTCCTTTCTGAACTCCTGGCTGCCTCACAAGAGTACAGGCACAGTAATGACAGATTACAGTAGGCTCACAGACTTTATGCAGGCAGGAGGGATTTCATAGAGAGACTGGGGCAGAGGGGGGGGCAGAGAAAGGGAAAAAAAATCCCAATCCCTTGCTTCTAGATTTCTCTCTAAGGACTTGAGTAGAACCAAGTCAGCTTTGCTTAGAAATGTCTTAGAAGTGTTGATTTTCCTGGCTTAGGAAAGTGTTTTGTGGAAGACACATGCAGAGAAAGAAAAGAGGATGTAAAAAAGTAATTTTTTTATTTAAACACCAGTAATTTTTGTCCATGTCTTAGTTTTTTTAAATCTGCTCTTTTACTCCTAAGATGAAGTCCTCGCAGCTTT